CCTCCTATATACTGACAAAGCCTGACAGATCGCCACGAGAAGCGGCCGCCGAAATGGAAAAGGTGGAGCGGAAGACAACGGATGGGGCGGAGCCACGTGACTGGCGCCCCGCTGCGGTGAGATGCCTAAACACACATCCCCGAGCGAACAAGTGTGTTTCGGGTCCTCGCCACAGCAAAAGCTGTGCGCTGACGTCCAGGTTCCACGAGATATGACTCTTTGATGCTCTGTGCTACCAGATCCTCGCGCTCCGAATCTGCGACCGGGCACTCTATGGCTCCGTCGTCGAACCGCCTGGCTTTGTGAATATAGAGGAGGCTATGGCTTCGCACATCGCGGCGTTCCTCCTGAGGGGCACGCGTTACACTCACACAACAGTTGATTGGCTTCGATGACCCGTGGCGTCCACTGCGGTCCATCGTCAGGTGAGTATACGTTAATAAAGACGCGTGTGTGTCTCCATATTCAAAAAAATCTAATTTTTACTTCATGGCACAATATGGTTATTGCTTAATTTCAAAGTAATGTGGCGCCCACGAACACTTGATTCCCTGGTGCGTCAGGTTATAAGCGAAAACAATTGCATGAAACGATATGTTAAAAACACAAGTGCCGAGAAATGAAGGCCCACACTCGCAAGCATCAACGCGAGTACATTAAAAGTGTTCTGCGCGAAAGCAGGCCAACATCAACATGAAAATACAGGAGACGTGGCTCTAATACCACAAAACAAATTAAGTGCAAGGACTTATTTTAAATTATATTAGCTTAACCATGCGCGCGAATAAATAAAGCAGAGTCATAGTCACACCCTTTCGAATCATAGAACAACTTACAATGTGCAAGTTCAATGTCAAAAACCATGGTATAGCACAAAGGAAACAATCCTGTACAGTAGTGTTAGCGTTTTGCTACAGGGCAGTGAATAGAAAACGCCTCGGTTGACTGCTAGCCTGCACACCTGGTGTTCAAAAAGAGAAACTTTAGGAAGGCATAGCCACCGAGCGATTGAACACGAGAACTGCGTCGTGGCTCGAAAAGGAGCTCGGGCATTAGAGCTCTAGGACGGGCTCAATGATTGCAGCAGCGGGCAGTCTCAGAGTTGCAAAACATTTCCCATATGATGGCGCCACCTGTGTCAAATCAAGCTCCATTGCCCGGTGGGTATACTGTTCGACGATAGTGAATCGCAACAGCAAGTTTTGGCGGGTGAAAAACTACGATTTAATTCCCCTGTCAGACGGACTAAATTAGTGCACTTCAACGCAGTGAACTTCAACTCTCCAAAAGTCACCTCAAGTGTTCCGGTGCCCCACGGCATAAATTAGTGTTACTTGGAAATGATTACACTAATGATAAGTAAATTGCAATTAGAAACCTAAATGTTAAAGTAAAAGCATAAATGTCTCAATAATAAGTAGCCTTTTTTGATAAAAACACATTAGAAGACAACGCTACGTTATTTGACACTATTTACGCCTATCGGATGATTCTGATCGCTCACCTCAAGCCAATATAAAGAATATAAAGAAGGACAACCAAGCTCACTTGAAACCAACGTTACTGGAGCAATAGGATGAGCTGGCGGGTTACTGGAGCAAGCTTGCTCCGGTAACGTTGCTTGAAGCCAAGTGTGTTCTTCAGGAACAAGCCGTGCGGCACACTACACAAATGATTCTAAAGGCGAAGTTCACTCCGTTGAAGTGCACTAAATTATAATAAGGTGGAGAACTGGGCCAGTTGGTTGGCGTTATACATGATAGGGAAAACAGCTCAGAAAACATGGACTACGAAGAGGAACAACCACGACAAGACAATGCTGTACTGGCAACTGAAGAATTTTAATAAAGGAAACAAAGACAGAAAAACCATACACAGTATTTTAAAAGATTGCGGAAAAAGAAAAAAAAAAGACCGTTCTCGTTAACCGTGAAGCGTGTCAATAACCTACCCGTTCACTACGTGACTCATGTTTTGCCGCAGCAAGGAAATTTCTTTGGCTGACAGCGCCAATGACGATTCACTAACACACGAATGACCACGACACAGAATGTGGAAGGCCTCAATGACCTCTCTCGTCACCCTATCCTTGTGCGCTCCCAGAACGGTGACTCTGCCAAAGTCAGGCCGACACTGGCAATCTCTGCAATGAACGGCCAAAAGCCCCCCAACCGTAGCTCCGAGCGAATATGAGTGCTCACGTAATCTCTCTATCAGACATCTTCCTGTTTGCCCCACGTAGCACCTGTTACACGACAAAGGTATTTTTTATACCACGCACGAAACACAAGGGACAAAGTAAGTTTCACGTTAAGGGACAAAAGGTTTTCTGTGCGCCTTGGTGCACTTCCCGCTGGAACGACCAACCACCCCCGCACTAATCCTGGAGCATATCTGGCCTATTTTTTGGGGCGCCGAAAACACTACCGGAATCCCATATCTGCCACCAACTTGTTTCACGTTATGGGAAACGCGGTGGAGGTAGGGGACCACTACCACACGCTTGTTTTCTCTTTCCGGCCTCGACCTCTCCACCCCCTTAGCTTTCTTAAGAAGTGAACTGGCTACTTCCGCCAAGAGTGTCGACGGGAACCCCGACTCCTTCAACTACTAATTTGTTTTCCAAAACTGTCGGTCATCTTGTGGGCACGTGATTTTTTGAGGGCCGACCCAAGGCATGACACCGCTATGGACCTCTTAACCACCTTTGAATGGGAAGATTTAAAATCCAGTATCGCCTTTTTGGAGCGCGGGCAAAACGACCAACATATAGTGTTATCACCCGGGTACATCGTCAAATCAAGGAACTGTAGAGCCCCTTCCTTTGGCTCTTCAGACGTAAATCTCAGGCCCCCACCACACTTTTCAAATGCGTCTAAAACTAAACACCGCGTATCGTGTTCTTCTACTCCCTCATATAAAACCAAAAAATCATCTACATATCGAAACACCCTTTTTACAGTCGACGCCCCCAAAGCACATGCCAGAGCCCTATCAACCCCGGATAGGTAAATGTCGCTCCAAATCTGAGCAACACTGAACCCGATACACACTCCTTGCTTTTGTAGAAAAAAAGAATTATTCCAGCCTACAACCATAGAATTCAGATCAAACTGCAACAGCTCTTAGAAGTCTTCCATAGCCAGTCCACTGGAGTTTCTAAATCCCAGTTCCCCGTTCGTTTCAATACAGTCTCTAACAGAGGCCAGCAACTGGTCCTGAGGTAGCGAATAAAATAAATCCTCAACGTCAACGCTAAAGGCCGACCATTTCTTGACCTCATTATTTTTTGAAAAATCGCACACCACCTCAGAGTTGGCCACCCTGAAAGAGTCCCCCATGTCCAACGGAGCCAACTGTTTTTGAATAAACGTCGCCATCTGCGGCTGCCACGTGCCCCTTTCAGTGACGATAGCCCTAAACGGGCACAAGTCTTCATGCTTTTTGGCGCTAAAAAATATCTCGAGATGTAATCCTTCGGATTTCTTGATACCCCCCCCCCCCCCCCCCCACCCCAACTGACTTAAGTCTAGGTTCCCACACATCTTTATAGCTCTGGCCTTGGCCTTTTTAACACCACATCAACCTGCCTAAAGCTTTTGGAAATGGCGGCATTCGCTTTTTCACAAAAAACACCTCCTGCCATCACAACAAAGGAACCCTCCTTATCTGATTCCAAAACACGTATCTGATTGGTCACAAAATGATTGGCCAAAGGTGTCAATCCCACATGTCCTCCACGTGGCTTTAGGAACTGAAGAGTGTCCACGCACTGAGAGGCACACCGTGGCCGGTCCAGTTCCGTAGCTCGTCACCAGCTCTGGAGGGCTCAGCTTTGGTTCAAGGCTGAACTTGGGGCCGCGTTCAAGAATCTTGGCGTATTCAGCGGGAACAGCGGCATCGCCGAGAGTTGTAAAGCGACCTGCTGGGGAGGTCACTTTTTCCTTTTTCCCCCGGGCGAGCGTTGGCCACACCCTCCGCCACAGAAATCCTGCCACTTCCTCAACGGTTTTGCACAACTCCGAGTAAAGCCGTCGCTGACGCTCCGCACCTCCCACTCCCTGCCGCACAGGCCACTCTTAAACCATCCTTGAAAAAAAGTTCCTGTCGCCAGTACTCTGGCCGGAGGATTCGGCACATACTTCGCGTGTGACCTACTCACGGTGCCAGCAGGCTACAGAGTCCAATAAGCTCAACCGGGCACGTACCTTGCCTGATGTAGTACGACGCAACCCTCGCACTGCACAAACACTGTGCCGCACAGTTGACGAGAGTGAAGGGATTACTAAGGAAACTGTTATTGTCGACAGAAGAAGCGAACGATGCAGAGGAAATAAACTGTAATAAGGTGGAGAACTGGGCCAGTTGGTTGACGTTATACATGATGGGGAAAACAGCTCAGAAAACACGGACTACGAAGAGGAACAACCACGAACGGACAATGCTGTACTCGCAACTGAAGAATTTTAATAAAGGAAACAAAGGCCGAGTACATCATGATGGTGCTCTTCTGATTCTGTCTGATTGGTTCCATCAGCTCGTAGCCTCGGTTGCGTCCACACTTAAGGTAAAAAGAACTATAGAAACACGAAAAAAATGAAGTGTATTTTTTTTAGGGTTTGGGAAGAAGATGTAGCGGGTAACGTAACTAAGTTACCCGTTACTTGAATTGAGTAACATAGGTACGTTAGGCGTTACTGTTTCGAAAATATGAGGATTACGTTACTGTGTTACTAAAAAAAGTAGTGTTACTTGTAACGCGTTGCCGCCAACACTGCTCTGAACTGTCGTTTAGCATGCATAGTCATTACTAAGCTTCTAAAACGAAAAGCAAATGGCCATACCATTCACTTGAAATTGGTCGTTTTGGCGGATAGTACTTGCGCGTTTTGAAACAGCCTTGCAATACATGTTGTATTAAGTACAAAAATGTCTCACGCACGCACCACGGATAGGCTCTACATCACATTTATTCGATGTTTCCATTTAATCCCTGCCACTTACATTGAATAGATCCTGCTGTAATCAAAATCAATCTCGTACGAGCTAAATCTACACACGGATCTGCTCTTCACCTTCCACCCTAAATCGTGTAGAAAATTATGTTCCTCGTCAGGCCACAGGGGACAGATGAGGACGACGCCGACGCTGGATGCCATCGGACAGCTGTCCACAAAGCTGCGAATCAGCATCCTGGCGATATCTCGATCGTCCGCGGACAGCTGATAAAAGCACCAGGAGCCATCGCTCATTTCCTGAACCACGCAGTATCCGACAACTTTGCCGTCTTCGCCGAATGCGACCTTCGTCAAGGCCCCTTCCTCGTCGATTGTGGCCTGGAGGAGGATTGACCTGTCAACTTTCACCACTCCGATGTCGTAGCGACAGAGGACGCCCAGGAGCGTCTCCTTAAAGTTGTTTACAGTCACGTGGCTCTTTCTGACGCGGAGGTCGTCTTTGGTGAGGATCACCGGCGCGTTTCGTCCCAGCAGGACCTTCGCGCGAATCATGAACTTTTCCATCTTGTTGAAGAGCGGCTCCAGGGTGAGGGCGCAGCGCATGTACATGTTGTACTCTTCTGCTTTTTCGAAGGCGGCGGCTAAGAGCTCGGCGGCGATGCGCTGACCCCGTAGCTCTGGCTTGACTGCGAGCAGTCCCATGTAGACGACGCCATCTGCGTAATGAACCATGGACACCGTGCCGAACAACTCTCCTGAAAGAGCAGGTGGGACCCACATTACGCCACACTCGCTTTGCTCACGTGTCAGCAAAATTTAAGTAACAAGCGGCAACCATAGAACCGGTTTGCTAAGGCAACCCAAAGGCGCTTTTTTGATTACCCCAGCCTTCATGCTAACAGGTTCCTTCTGATTATAAAGCAACCTGGCCTCATGATGTATAAACGAGCTGGATACAAAATTGGCGTAGAACAAGCAGGCCTGCACTGAGTGATACTGGTTCGCATTGGGTTGTAGTTTACGTGGCGCCAAGAGTGCTTGAGGACGGTACCGTATTGTGCAGTTGATGCTAACAGCGTGCACCCGCAGTGAATATTTAGCAAACAAGGTGCACGTTCTGTTTATCATCACCAAACCTACACGTGATCGCAGTATATAAGAGAGACCATTCCTTATTATTTCCAATTGGGTACGAAGCTTCTGATGTCAAAAGGCTAGTCCCCGCCTGCACATTTCTAAGATTTTGTACACCGAGGCATCACGAAAACGAAATAACCAGTGTTTCAATTAAATTGTTAGCCTACGTAACGCCATCATCACCTATATATTTTGAGCGGAAACATTGATTCAAAACACAGAAACGGAGGCCCTACTCCCTCAATAGTTCCGGCCGAACTACTGATCATGTCGTGCAAGAGGAAGAAACGCTGCATGCAAAGGTACTATATATATAAAGCAGGTACGTGCACACTAACAAAGAAAAGCCCGTAAGCAACAGATTGACTATAGTTGGCAACAGCTTTAGAGTAAAGTGCAAGCTCCTCCCACCTGATTTCAATTTAGCAGAGAGAACGCTGGAGAGGAGGTCGCCTCTCTCTATCGTTTGTTCTGCTAATGTGAGAGATGTAGGAGGAGCTTCCACTTTACTCTTAGCCTGCCACCGATTATAGAATCAGTGCAATTTTCCTGCGGTATCCGTGTTGGAGGGATAGCGCTCCGGATCTTTATCGTTGCCACGGGAAATTTCTCCATTCGGTTCGAAGACCTTTTTGAGCATTTTTCTCGTTGATACCTATATTGCAAGGAACTCGCCCTATCCTTTACCGCTCTAAAGACTCGAACGTGGAGCGCTGCTTGATTGCTTCAAGTCCACCATCTAAATTCCCGATGAGTCAAGAGTTACACGCTGGAAAGTTTGCTTCTTGATTTTTTAATGCCAATAAGCCACAGAATATAGGTTGGCGTTCAGAGACAAATCGCCAAGATGTGATCACCGTAAACTCGTCCTTGTTTCAAAATAAACATAAAGAAAGAATATAAAAATAGAGATATTCGATTTTTTAGGTTTCATCGATTATGATCACGAGCCGCGGGTACACGAAAGCGACCGTGGCGCATCCAATCGATATGACGACGGTGACTGGGTAAAAGAGAGGAAAAAAAAAAAACAAAAAAAAACCAGAGGGACTGGGAGCTTGTGATTGGTTCACTTTGAATTCGATGCGCCATTGTCGTATCCATGTGAACGCAGTCACTGTCAGCTTAAAAAATGCAGGGCGTGACGAACCCAGTGCTTTCTATTAGTGCTACTCAGCCAAATGAGATGGCGGCTTAAGGCAATAACAAATCTGGAGAACAAATCAAGAGGGAGCGTGAATATGAGAAGCCACGCCCTCTATGTTTTAATGTGAGTAACTATATGCCTTCTACACTCTAAAAAAAGCCCGTGAGTCTGCTTTCCCGCACAACACTTGGTGAGCGAATCGCCGCAACTTACGGAGGCAGCTCAGCGAATGACAATGCCGAAACATATGTTAAGACCAAAAAACACAGTCTGAGTTTGTTGTTATTGAGTTTATGAATCGCCACCAGGGTGCCCCTTTTCCTTTAATCGCCCTTGTGTAGAAGAATAAAGAAGAAGTGTAGCAGCGTTTGTCGGGGCTGGACGTGTCCTTTTTCCTTCGGCGTGTCCGCTTGGCCGCGGGCCGCCGCTGCCCTCCACGCCATCGTCGTCGTACCGTAAGCCTTCCTGCGCATATATCCTAAGGCAGTATAGCCCCTCAAACACTACAGAGTTGTGACACTGGGCAATGCAAGCGTGACGTTTTGCATTGCTTAATGTCACAACTCAGACTGCGTTTTTTGGTCTAAACATATGTTCCCGCATTGTCATTCGCTGAGCATCCTCGTAAGTTCCGGTGATTGGCTTTCCAAGTGCTGTGCGTGAAAGTAGACGCACAAACTTTTTTTAGGGTGTAGCACTTATCCTTGAGCCAATAAATGCTAAGACAGTCTGCTGTTGGCGCATGTGTGTCGTCTGATATCCGGCAGAAGACTGAGCTTCCTCAGGAAGCACTTCACAGCCCAGTAGACAAAGGCGCCAGCGCGCAGGAGGTAATGATATTAGAAGGGGAATAGTGCTAGTTTCAGCGCAACTAGGCGCTTTCACAGCTCTTTGCTGCAGGGGCAAAGATGTCCACTTTAAGGTCTTTGGCAAGAGGATTAAGCATTAAAAATGGTTGGTAAATCGCAGGCAATTGTGTTGCATAAGTGAAACATCCTTGCACCACAAATGTTTATATCATCGTTTAGCATCACGTCTAGCCTGTTAAGGCTGCGGTCCCACGGCAGCCATCTTGAACAAGGCGTTAGTTCAACCAATAGATGGCGACACGCACCCGTGGGGTGGCCGAAACATTGGTTCACAGTGGGATGGCTCGAGCACCATCACGTTCCCCTCGTGGCCTTGCTCGCGCCGCTGCCAGCTGTGCTCAGCTAGCTCAAGTAGCGTGGCCCAGCAAACGGATATATGCGAGAATGTCAGGCTGGGTATAAATTGTTGTCTGATATAGGGAGATGCGGTCGGCGGTTGTAACGTGCTTTCGCAATAAATCTTACCAAGAAGGAATCAAATGTTGATTGACGTGTCAATATTCTATCAATGAAAATTTCCTCTGCAGGAATGCACGCTCAGTAGACTCAACCAGTGGAAGCGGACGTCGAGTAAACTGCTTCGCGATTTACGGTACTTACCTCACCATTTTAATGACGACTAAAATAACGTCACGAAATATTGTGTTTCACGGGGTCCGGAAGATGTTGTAAAGGTTGTTACATTATAGTTCCCGGAAAACAAACGCCGTTGCAATATTTTCGGAAGTACCGACACACATTATGTTGTAAGTACAGCTTAGGGAAACCATCAGAAGAAATAGGAAGACGTTTATTTGCAATGAAGACGCTATGAATGAACGGCGTTTAGCGACGGCAAGTTATGAGCGTTCGGGAATTTATAATTTGACGTGATTGCTAACCATGGACATGCGGACAATGAAGACCAGTTTTGTCGGGAGATGGTGTTGTGGTGATGACCGCATATCGGACGACTCATGGCAGACGAACAAGCAAGTTTCTTCTCAGCGATTGGTAAGTGTCCAGTTTCAAGCACTACACGTGGCTACCGACGTTGTCGACGTTTCGAACACTTACCGCTTTCGACAAAAGCCCTGGCACCTGGGCTAACTTTGTGGAAAGACTCGAACAGTAACTGAAAACGATCCACTATTCAGTCGGTGGGTGGCGAAACGTATCCACATCTGCGGAGTCATGTACGATGCGTATACTCTAAGTGGCTGGAAGTTTACACGATGTCTGCCACGACGTCCAAACACGTCATTGACGTTCTACGGTCTCTTTTACCTACTTTTGCCCTACCGAAAATACGTTTCTCTGATAACGCGCCAAATCTTGCTTCAAATAAAATAAACAAGTTTTTGAAGAAAAAAAAAACGGCATCAGGCATCACATTAGTGCACCATACCATCCTGCAACTAACGGGCAAGCAGAACAGATGGTGTGCGAAACGAAAAAAAAAAAATTCCTTTTGAAGCTTACGGAAGAAGCAGTTCAGTGAAGAATCGCCAGGTTCTTGTTCCGGCAGCACGCGTCGGTCTCATCTTACACGGAAAAAAACCCGCCGAAGCAATATTCGGCGGAAGAATAGCCACACCCCTCGATCTCATGATACTATCGCTTACGAACAAAGATCGAGAGATACCCACATCGGGAGTAATGGCAGTTTATTCGGTCGGACAACTCGCCTACGTGAGGAATTTCAGCGGAAGTCTCGCCTTCCATGTAAAACTTGAGTAGAAAAGGCTCTATGTTGGTTGACCAGGAGGTGTCATCTCTCTGAATAGGTTGGATATCAATGCCCTTAAGTGTAAATGTAACTAAATCACAAACCTTTCTTTGTGTATTGTGTAACTGCCCTTTTATTTGATAGTAGAAGCTACGGTGGTGATCTGGACCTTTCACACCAGACTCCTTTTTCTTATTTTTCGCCTTATACTCCCTTGCGGTTTAAGTATGCTTCAAGAATCTTTTGGAACGGGGACACTTTACGTCAACGAGGCCATTTGTTCCAAGTAGTCAATCAGGGAATGCTGCTAGAAATCCGTCCCTCATATTAACGAATAAGCCGCGCTTCTGCACGGTGGAGTTTTCCTGTTCGACGTACAGTTGTAAAGCAACATCCTCATTGATTCTACCATATACTGTTGCGGGTGAAGAAAGTCTTTGGGTACACGATACTTGAAACAAGTCTGGCACTGTACGTTGTGGTTGAACACCCATTAATGTCGTCGTCCTTATAGAGCCTCATTGCTCATCTACAGCTGAGACACCGGACGCCCACTAAGGCAGACTAACTTCCGGCTGAATAAACATACACACAAGAATTTGCAATTAGACGCATAATAACAAAGAACACAGTGTGCCGCCTCTTTTCTTTGGATGCCTTTTTTTTTCTAAACCAGCGCAAGCTCGTGCGTTCTCTCTTTTGAGACGGCTAGAACGGTCGCATATAAAACCCGCGTTTCTCCTACCGGCCCGCTTCCTCCTCTCATTATGTGTATTTGGTTATAACTAAATAAGCTATAATAATGGTGTATTATTCATATTTACTTTCAGTTTCAGTCAGGGAAAAGGAGTTCCGCGGCAACTAGAGCCAATAAATGAGCTGCGCTTAGAGTATCGGCACTCTCTTCCCCGACAGTGTTGTGAACGCCGCCATTTTGGTGCTTGTGCAGAGCAGGGGTGCTATGTTGCGCTTTTTGGACTCCCAGGAGACTTGAGAGAAGGAAGTGACGTCAACGACACAGAAAACGCAGATTGGATGTTGACAGAAGAAAACGAAATCAACACCCAATCTGCGTTTGCTTTGTCGTTGACGTCACTTCCTACTCCCTAGTCTCCTGGGAGTCCAAAAAGCGCAACATAGCACCCCAGGCGCAACTGCCGATCGTCATGATTCAAAAGTGCGACATCGTCAGCATTAGATTCGGTGTTAAGAGGCTCATGTAATGTTGCTTTGCTTTGTCGCAAACTGTTTAAAGTGGGGGACGGAAAAGCGTTTCTTGTGATTTCAGATAAAGCTTCAAATAACTGGAAACCATAATTTTAAGCCATACTAAGGCCAAGCGTGGCTACTCTGAAGCGTAGCTTATTTAATAACACTATTCATGCTCTTGTTCAAGAGGCTTGTAATACCTAGGGTGCCTCAATGTCCTTCCGTTTAGGGTGATGCCACCCTCTGTAGTACCCGATGCCGACAGCACGCGCTCACGGGGAAAATACAAAGAAATCGACGAAAACAAAATGTCGCCATAGCACAATCAGCGCCACGAGCGCGTGCAGATACACGCTCTTTCACGCGCTTCTGAACAAAAAATAAAAATAAAAGAGCGGGACAAAATGGCCAGATGTCGTGCTCCGCCCTAAGCAAAGGGCACATGAAGTGCTCCACCCAGTAATACCTGGAGGGGCCATATCGTAAGCCCCGTGGATTCCACAAGCCACTATCTTTTGACACCTGCCTCTTCTTCATTGTTCCCGCTTGTGCCAGTAAATTAGCTACGGTTCAGAGTAACGACACTTGGCCATATTGTGGCTTAAAATCATGGTTGCCAATTATATGAAGCTTTATCTAAAATCACAGGAAACACTTTTCTCTCCCTCACAAATGTTTAAACAACCCGCGACAGAGCATTGCAATATTGCATCAGCGTCCTAGCACCGCATCTAATGCTGAGGAAGTCGTACTTTTAGATCACGATGATCGGCAGTTGCGTTTGCTCTGAGCAAGACCCAAAATGGCGGCGCCCAAAACAATTTTGGGGAACGGAGTGCCGATACTTTAAAGCTCATTTAGTGACTCTAGGCATAAAGTGAACTCGGGTGTATTCTTTTCCTCTTCGTCTTCATTGTTTATTGATTTCAATCATATCGAATAATGAACACATTATATCACGCTACGCTTGTGTAAATATTGGTCTTAGATTTATTAGCCTGACCCAGTACTTAAACCATTCAGTTATCGATAGTAAATCTTCCAATATATTTTTTAAATGTGAGGGTAAAAAGACACGGAGATTGATGATGATACAGACGCCAACGCCGCCCTCGGAAATTTTTTGAACATTAGAAATCAGCAGTTTGTCTGCGATCCGACAGGTAGCGCAACAAAACACCCAAACAGTTTTTCATTGTTTTTAAAATTAGCTAAGCTCTACACCTATTAAGAAACCAAAGCAATATCATTGTGAAAATTTAATACATCGCAATGTGTATCTATTCCAAACTATAAATGTTATTAAATGCGAATAAATCTGTTTGATGTCCAAAACAGATATGCGTCAAAATCAGGTAAGTTTGAAGGGCTCCTGGAGCGTTATGACTTTGAAAATGAAAAAAAGCCATCGTCCACCTCTTGGGCAACCATTGTAGCTCTAAATGTTATAAAAGATTTTATCATAGTTTAATTATTTCTTCAGCGGCATTTGAACTACCATGACACGAAGCACAAAAAAGTGCTACGTTTAGTATAAAATATCTAAACAAAAAAAAAATTTACACAACATTAAATTTTTTTCTGCATATTACCAATTATAAGCACTACATCTGTAGCTAATTTCATTGCCCTAGCTCTTGTCATTAAAAACATATTTGTGCGGAAAAATGTCAATTTTAGGGCAATACTTGGAGGGATGAAAAAAACAAAGTAGTGCAAATATCAAAAAAGTGGATCGTTAGATTCTGCTCCGACATCATCTTAACAAAACCGCTATTTTGGAACCGTGCTATCTTTAATGGATCGTTCATAAAACATGAACTAGCGGAGCAAGTGAGGGTCCGCGCCATCATATTCGCAACGCTACAAATGCGCATGAACAGTAAAAACCAACACATACATAATATCAAATGAAAGAGGATTGCATTACCTTTCAAATGACATCAATCCCAAAACACAGTATTTAAAAGGAGATGGGTAATGGCCTGCCGAAAAGTACCTAAACTGCCACATTCAGTGGGACCGTGGCCTTAAGCCACACGCCTGCGTTCACGGCGATCTTGATCGGATCATTTAATGCGTGGCGTGTGTACACTTGCAATGATAAACCTGGTGATTTTTCAGAACTTTCTAACCCACTCATCACTTTTCACCTCGCCCCTCGCCTACCTCTTTCTCAATCCTCGCCTTGTCACATGACGGTCACATGATATCCCTGTTAACCAATCAACGTCGAGAACTTCACTCACCCTGCCCCACCCGACAACCAATCAGTGTTGCGCTTCGCGTCCATGCTTTTATCCAAGCTTCAGTTTTGGGCTTCAGGGAATGCTGAACTTAGCCAAAAAACGTTTCACGTTAATAAAATTTGCTAGAGACACGTTTTGTGTTCTTACCGTCAGCATTGACTGCAGCGAGGAAATAGTCGGGAGTCACTCTCCAGGCGGTCTCCATACTAGCCTTAGAGAAGACGTAGTTGGTTTGCTGGCGAATCTTGAAGGCCTGTTCTAGCTCCTCAGGGCGTATGGCTCGAATGATGTACGGTCTCTCAGGGGCGATCCTACGTTGAAGAGTCCAATGCAGAATTTTCGTTTTTTACTTTCAAAATACGCGGCACAGCATTATTTCTTTTCGTTCACAACCTATAAAACACGCGTTAGATATATATATATTTTTTTGCGTAATGGCAGCCTCAGGAGAAAGAAAGAAAAGAAGATCTGATAAACGAGCAGCGTTCACGCCCTCAATTCGCAGCCAGAAAAAACGGCCACGTGATCTGGAGCCAATTATTTGCCGCCAATACTAACCACAGCCACGCGCTGAGGTTGCCAAAGCATCGGGCACGCTAAGTTTCACACATTATTTAGGTTTGGCCATTCCCGTCACCAAAGTTGTTGGGCACGAGCCACTACCGGAATACATGTCGAGGCATTTTTGTCATGACCCTAAATCCAATAATCACGCAGTACTCGTGTCCAGGGTATGACTCGCGCATTTAAATGTAGTCACCGCGGAGATCGCGAAACTTGATCACGAAATCCCGTGGATCGCATTGTTGACAACACTAAAATACAATCCCCACAACCTCGTCATCACGTTTTGTGTAGGGAAAACTAAAAGAGAATGTCTTCTTTAATCCTTAAAAATAAGCGGCGACAAAACAACAACAAGAACAACAACAACAACAACAACAAAGAGCGCGTTTTGGCCAGTGGCGTTGCGTGCGACTATTCTTGGGTCCCAACTAGCGCAGTAAGCTTCTGTTCTGAAAAGTGAGAAACATTCCTACCAGATATCGTTGCACGGCCCCTTCAAAAAAATTTTTATTTTTTTTTTAGAAAAAGAAGAAATACGAAAAGCGAGTTAGAGGTGCATTTGGCGTATTTTTATCCTGTAAATATGAATATCACGTTCATTTTCCCCGAAGTAGTAAATAAACGCTGGAAAATTCGAAAACCCTCTAACCAGGCGTGACGTCATGCTAGGATCTTTGGGCCGCCAAGCGCGTGTCGCTCGTGTGGGCGGCGCGTGCAATTGCAAGCTTGCAAGGCATAGTCTTTCGCACTGACACCAGTCATGCCGTCTCTTCCTGACCCTTTGCAAATAGAAAGAGTGCGCGCGCATAGTTTTCATAGGCGCTGAAGATGCACGAGAGGGGAGATTCCGAAAACTCCTGACATGACATCACGCCCCGGGGGAAGGAGGGGCTTCAGCGGTACTTTGAAAATTAATTGTGCAACCTGCGTGCACCAAATATAAAAATAATCTCGATATTCGTGATTCTGAAGGCCAAATAAAGACGATTTAAGTTTTTTTTTCTCAAATAGAGAACCGCTTCAGTTTCCCTTTAAGAATCCCGTATTAGTGAGACATTGCCCGTACCAAAAGCACTGAATAGTGTTATGCAAAGGTCACGCGCTGTGAATGATAGCCGAGAAGACTAAAGGCTGGTTCATACATCTGCAATGGTTGCGTTCGCATGAAACCGAAACGACCTTAAGGACAAAGTCACCGGGTCAAGTGTTCGCCGTACACAGCATAGCAAGCGATGTAGGGGGTTGCTTCGCGAAGCAATCCGCGAGTCACGGTTATTTAGGTGTTTTGGTCGTTACGGTCGTTTCAGTTGTATGCGAACCCAAGCGTTGCGAATGTGTGAACCAGCCTTTATGTTACTTTCGATTTTCTGTTATTTACAGTACGTTTCGTCCCTTGTAATTGCTTGCAACGATAGAACAGCAGAGAACACGCTGGAGTACTTACACCAACCATCAAATAAGTCTGGAACTATTGCAACGTGCGGATATGATGTTATAAGTTTTTATGTACCACTCACTCCTTGCGGGCCTGAAATAATTCTGGCGACGTTGTAAGGGGCCGTTTCTCACGATAGTGCGTTGATATGATTTCGCGAATTCTGCAAAACCTTCGCTCTATACCTCGTTTCACCATAAGTCAACGCGCACCCTAGGCTACGATCCGATGATTGTTGTGTTTTTAATACGAGCGACTAGGTGAGGCAGGACGGAAAAACCAACTGCTCCATCTCGTGCTCCGTTCGTATTCCCTCTTCTTCGTCCTCGTCCACTAGCAGCCAGAATCAGCTTACAGACACAACACAATCCCCCCTCGAAGCAGAGTTCAACAGGGGGAGAATCTGTCTGGAGGTTTCTTATTCCTTGTGGATTTTCGTGGAGCTGGAAGCGGCAGCTGTGTGTCTGCTCAAGCTTCTGGATTTGCGTAGTCCACTTGTACTTCATGTCTTGCTAGAATGCGTGTTCGAGACAACCTCGACGAATTCCAGCATCCTCCTCCTGACGTGACGAAGGTGCTTGACCCCACCGCTTCATGAATTCTTTCAGGGGGACCAAACGATGGGGTGCCCTTCGGTCGGTGTGTTGGGATCTTTACCCGTACATAATCTCCTACTCCCGCTGTAAATGGTTTGGCTCTCCGCCTATCATCGGTGTATTGCTTGCTGTGCTTCTGGTAATCAGCAATGCATTGGCGGAGTTGCTGCATCTCGATGTGAACGGGCCGGTCAAAACTTGGGAAGCCCACGATGTCCACACGGGTCCGCATTTTACGTCCGAGTATGAGCTCAGCGGGGGAGAGCTTCGTCGCTGCATGTGGTGTGCTTCGGTAGACACCCAGAAACTCCTCAAGGCCTGTACGAACGTTGTCTTATTCCTGCAGGATAGTTTGGACGTACTGCTTAAGCACTCGGTTAAAGCGCTCAACCTGACCATTTGCTTGTGGATGGTATATCGCAGACCGATGGTGGGAAACCCTCTGGACTCCTGGAATATACGGGATTCAAACTGTGGGCCGTGATCAGAAACGATCACCTCCGGATACCCTTCCCGGCTGAAGATTCTAATGAGGAATTTACATACCGCTTTAGCCGTAACTTGGTTACAAAAAGATACTTCTGGCCACTTACTGAAGTAGTCGACTAGAGTGCCTGCAAATCTGAATTGCGATGGAAGTTTGTAGAAAGGTCCGACAACGTCTATTCCAAGTTGTCTCTATGGCCCTGATGGGAATGGAGCTGGTTGTAGGGGTGCCGCCGCCGTCACAGCTGTCAGCTGACGGCGTAGCTGGCTAGCCGCTAGCCAGCTACGGCGTAGCAGCTGACGGCTGTCAGCTGGCTTCGTCTGACAGGTGTGGCAGTAGGTGTCAACTTCGATGTTCATTCTGGGCCACCAGAAGCGCTGGCGTAGACGCTGCTTCGCCCACAAAAGTCCTGGATGTGACTCGTGAGCTAGATCGATGAGTCGACGCCGTAGCGAAATAGGTGGAAAAACACTTTACCACGTAGTAGTAAGCCATCCACGGAGGAAAGCTCTTATCGCAATTTGTAGTATGTTGATAGTACTTTTTCACGTTGTTCCTCGTGACCCCATCCAATGCAGATACACTGAATTACTCGAGGCAAATCAGGGTCTTGCCTGGTTTCTTTCTTGATTTTTCTTGATGGATTGTGCATAAATTGCGTACCAGGCAAGTAAATTCTTCCTCGTTGTGACTACACTCACTGCTATCTGAAGGATTCGGAGTAGGCAGGCGTGACAGTGCGTCTGCTACGAGATTCTCGTTTCTTTTCTGGTAATGTACCTCGTAGTCATACCTGAGGACTCGCATAGCTTATCTTGCTATCCTTATTGGTTGTCGACCGGTTCCTTGTGTAGAAAGCAATGTCACGAGAGCCTGATGATCCGTCTTGAGTGTGAAATGGCGCTCGAAGAGAAAAACGTGCCATTTCTCGCAGACCCAAAGGCACGCCAATGCCTCTTTCTCCCCGGCAGAGTAATTGCGTTCAGTGCTTGAAAGTGTTCACGATGCGAGCGACACCGTTCGAATTCTTTCCGGATGTACTTGCTGTAGAACCGCGCCTAATCCGTAATTAGATGCATCCGTTGTGACGACGGTGGGCAGCGCCACGTCGAAAACACTTAGTGGAACGCAGTTCCGTACGAGATCCTTGACAGCAGCGAATGCCTCCTTTTGTGCCTTTTTCCATTGGAAGGGGGCATCCTTCCGCAGGAGCGCGTGCAGAGGCTCCACGATGGTCGCAAAGTTCGGTACAAACTTGAGGTAATATGTGAGCAGGCCGAGTGACGATCGTAGTGATGTTACGTCTCGGGGGGGGGGGGGGGGGGGGGGGGGGGGGGTGATGCCTGCATGATAGCCTCAATATTATCTTGGCATGGCTTGATTCCCTGCGGTGTCAGCTAATTTCCTACGAATTGAAGCTGCTGGACTGCAAAACGACATTTCTGCTGGTTTAGTTTCAAGCCTACCTCTTGAAGGCGTGAAAGAACCTGCCTCAGGCGGGCATCATGCTCTTCTCTTGTGTGTCCGAATATAAGTGCATCATCCAGGTAGACGATGTTACCTAGAGTACCTCGGAGTATGCAGTCCATCATTTTTTGAAAGGCAGGGGCGGCGGATGCCAGCCCGAAACATACTCTAGTGAACCTGAAGAGACCTTCATGCGTCATAAATACCGTTAAGTCTCTGCTTTCCTCTGCCAGATCCAGCTGGTGATACGCCGACGAGAGGTCTAGCTTGCTGAAGACGCGGGCACCGGAAAGCTGATGAAAAAGTTCGTCGGGGCACGGTAGAGGGTGGGAATCCAAAACTATTGCACTGTTCGGCTTGCGTAGGTCTACACAGAGCCGGATCTCCCCATTCTTCTTGCGGGCCACCACGATGGGAGACACCCACTCCGAAGCATCGATGCGCTCGATAACCCCGGAGCGTTCCAGCTCCGCCAGTTCCTCAGAAACTTTCTCGCGCACTGCGAAAGGTAGTCTTCGTAGCTTTTGTTGGAACAGAGTGACGGAATCTTTTTGTCTTTACCTTATGTACAAATCCTTTCGCATGATGTAATCCCTCGGAGAACAGACGGGGGAAGTCTTGTGCGATCTCTGGAAGGTTTCTCGCGGATACCATTGGCACCTGTCCACCGTTGGGAGGAGCAAAGTTTAGTTGAATGTCCAACGCACGGAAGGCGTTGAGGCCCATGACAGCCGCTCCTGTTCGAACGACATGCAATGT